TGCCTTCTCTCCAGCTCACCGCACACAAAGGGGGGGGGGGGGGGGGGCAATCTGTATTAACGGGTCAGTCTATAAGCACTATAACAGCACCATAAATTACATTTAAACAACCACAAAAAAACAATTATTGTTTCCGATATTGATTTAACGAGATGCTGTTATAACATGGAAACGGCTTAATTTAAAAAAATAAGCTTCAAAAATGTTTTATGAAGCACACTGGGTACAGCCCTGTAATACATGTGTTCCGTGTGTATATAGTCTTACGCAAGAAACACATAGCATGAACAGACTGCAACAAAACCAGTCTTACAAAACAGACTTCTGCTAAACTGGTGCAGAAGCAAAGCATCTGCCTTAGATGAAGTTCACACAGAACTGTGGAAAAGGGAGAACATCTGTACTTGCTTTCAACGACATGATCAGGCTTATATATTATAAAAGTGTTGGCTAAAGTAACGCAGAATATATATATTTTTTAATTGTAAATAATTAGAAACATTATTTATGTGCACAAGTACACACACATAACAAGCTGTACCGAGTTCCTCCGGCTGCAGTTCCGCAGACGGCCGGTGTGTGGCAGCAGAGCGCTGGGAGCAGAGGGAGGTGAGTAGACGGATATGACGGATGACGGATGCGACGGAAATACACCCGAACATATCTGGTACTGACACCGGAAATCCCAGAAGTTATCTTGCTAAACGAAAATCCTGCTTCGTAGTATACCCCCCTGGTTAGCTGCACAGCATAAGTTACCATGGAGATCTAGCCTGCTAAAAAGAGAACCAGCTTCGTAGGACCGGAAACCCCGAGTTTTCCCTGAAGTTAGCCGGCTAAGCAAAAATCCTGCTTCGTAGTATACCCCCCAGATGTTGAGTAAAAGATCTATACAACTAAATCACTACCGTTTGTTATCATAAAAAGAAAAAAGAGCTTAGATTCCTCAGTAAAAACAGTCTTTGTTGAGCTCTTGAGTGTCTTTTTGGGTGATTGTGCCCAGGTGTTTGTAAATACGAACAATCGTATGCATGACTAAGAGTCCTGCAGTCATGCTAGCAGCTCTGTGTGATTTTACTTTAAGCTAAATGCTAATGTCGGTCTCAAAATGAAAATTCTAACATGCTGATGTTAAGCGTGTATAATGTTTACACTGTTCAACATTTTAGTTTGAGCTTATTAGTAGCGTGCTAACCTTTACAGTCTATGATGCTAGCATTAGCTAATTAGCACTAGACTCATTTAAACTGATTCTAATGGGACCAAAAGGAGAATGCAAGCCTGAAGCCTGTGTGATTTCCAGGTTGTTTGTAGTTTTTAATAATTGTATTTCCCTTCTACTTCCTGTCAGAGTGCAGATATGTGGCGGTGGACCTGGCCGGCCACGGTTTGTCCTCTCATCGTCCCGCTGGAGTTCTCTACACGTTTCCTGCTAACGTGGCTGATGTACGCAGAATCGTTGACGGTGTGTGAGCTCAATAATTTGAACAATCTTTTTATCCCTTAGCTTCACTTAAATAAGATCAAGATGTTGGATCTCTGCAGGACTCTGTTGCATCAAATCAAATCGAGTTTTATTTATTTAGCACATTTAAAAGCGATTTTTGGTCGAGCCAAAGTGCTGTACATGTAATAAAAACACATTACCACAATCACAATAAAAGACAATAATTTAAAAACAGAAATATAAAAAAAAAAAAACACACAGGGAATAGTCAGGTGTCATCATACTCCGCTCTGACTAGAAGGCCAGGGAGAAGAAGTGAGTCTTTAGTGAGGATTTCAAAACCCCTAGTGTCTCGGCCGACCTCACATGGAGGGGCAGAGTGTTCTACTCTTTGCATCTCTGCAACAAAAGTACAGCCGTAAGTTACACTGGATTTAATCAGATGTGCTTTCATTAAATAACTCCACAGGCCTCCAGTGGACAACATTCACCATCATCGGCCACAGTATGGGTGAGTGCAGCAAAAACAAACATGCCACTGTGCATTTTCACATCTTCTGCTTCCATAAAACAACAAATGCAAGGGCAACAATGTCTCCTCTTCTATAATGAAACTTTTTTTTTAAGGTTGTTCAAAATCTGGTCCAATTGATGAAATCTACCATTTGGGTGTAATTATAGTGTTGCTTCTTGAGTTGATAACCAAACAGTGCTGGAACAAGTGATTTCACCCATAAGTCAGGAGAAAATCAATGTATAGTCAACTATTTGGGGGATTTATTATACATTTAAGACACTTTTTTTTCAATAAAAAACATTGAATATCTCTAGCTTCCCAAATGAGAGTGTTTTTTTCTTTCATCAACAAGTAATGTACTTGTCTTTAACTTTGAGAATTATTATTTGTTCCCTGTCTTACAGGTGGCAACATCGCTGCATTGGTAATTAAGAGCATGCATTATCACTGTTTTCATATAATATTGTACAGTGTTTTCTTGCTTGGCCAATATTATGTTTTCCACAGTTCAGTGCACTGTATCCTGAGATGGTAAATGCCTTTATACTGCTGGACGCGTATGGATTCTTACCTACAGATCAAGTAATCAAGTTTTTGTTCTACCTATAGAGTTGTTGACTAGCCTTTGAGGTCAATTAAAATATTAAAATGTCTGTGATTGCAGCAGTGGTATTACATTATACCCCATTTATTTTCATATTACACTGCAGTCAGTAGTTTTGTGTATTTTTCCCGCAGAAAGAAATACCCAAAGTGATGCGACAGGGGATGGATGAGATGCTTCAGTATGAGAAAAAGACGGAAGAGAAGAAAAGAGTTTACACGTATGAGAAGGCAGCTGAGAGGTACTACATCACTCCAGTTCATGACACATTTTTATTTAATAATGACCCATTCGTGTGGGATGTTTTGCACTGATCTGAAGTGTGTTTTAAAGGGAAACTCACACACATTAGAGTTGGATGTAGGGGAGTTATAATGCATATAATACGTTGTATAAAGCATGGTGAGACTCCAAAATGTTAACCCTTAAGTACCTCAGGTAAAGAGAAAAAGTCAAATCTGAGGGTATGGAGCTGAGAAGAAGTGTACTTCGTGACCACATGTTACCCAATCCTCATCAATAAAAGCTGCTACTTAAAATATATTTGGATAGAATCAATCTGAATCTCAGACCAGAATGTCTGTTGCATTGTGGGTAAAGTAGGCGCTAGGTTTTGGCCAAGGAAGAACCTGGTTTGGAGTAAAAAGAGACGATTTATCGCGATCTGCAGCATCAATTTCTATCTATCCAAAAATGTAGTAGGTGTGTAATTCTAAAACAGAAAGATAAAACCAAACAATAATCAAATCTGTCTGTTAGAGTTTTAGTATTCTCCTAAAGTCAGCTGTTGGCTTAAGTGTTTTATTTACTTCAGGTTGCAGGCTGCAAACCCCATTCTGTCTGAACGGTCGGTGCACACCCTCTTAGAGCGAGGTCTCGTTCAGGGTGAAGGAGGTATGTGTTTATCTTTCCCTCTCCTCTAACAGAGGAATAATCTCATTTTGGTTTCTAACATCTGCTGAATGTGTTTCTCTTCTGCAGGGTTAGTGTTCTCAAGAGACCTGCGAATTAATTTTGTGAGTCACTTTACACCTCCCAATCCTTCCCCCCACATTCCCCTCCTATCTGTAAACTTGTGTTTTCTACAACAGAGGTTTAGCATTCAGCTTGTACAGTAGCTGTGCTTTATTTTATGTTTCCAGACAAATATAGTGCGCTATATCAGCTTGGAGCAGAGTCTGGAGATACAGTCGAGGATTCAAGCCTCTGTTCTAGTTGTTCTGTAAGATATTGATCACTACACTGATATGGGTCTTAGTAAATGATTGTATATTCATAACAAATGAATTTAACCTGTTAAAATCTTCGTTTTTCCAGTGGAGACAAAGGCTTTGGTGCAACTACTGGTCCAGAATTATACCCAAGGAGATTTGCCTCTAAACTTCTCCAAGGATATTATGACAGAAATGTGAGTTTGAATCTCCAAATACATGCAGGAAGACATCGTATTTAGAACCATTGTAATACCTGGAGTGTTAAGGCTAAAAACTGTAGTACTCATCCATTTGAAGCGAAGTCACTAAGCTGCATTTGACTGTGACACCCTAAAACAAGACAGTGCTTTAAACAATGTCTGTGTCTGTGTTGATCTGTTACATCTATTGGGGCAGGCAGCAGCACATATCTAAAAGTAGCAACAGAAATATTTATAGAAGTGCAAAAAGGGTTCACTCACCAGATGAGATTCCTTTATTGTTTTCAATGTTTTGCATTGAAATATATTTACTATATTGACAAAACAAAAAATGGAGATAGCTTGAATTCTCAATGTCAGTTAGAGACATTGATATTAGCTTAAATTAAAATGTTATTTCAAATATTGTCACATGTTTCATACTATGCAAAATGTACAATATGTACACAACAAATTGTATCACAAATTCACCAACAAAGTAATGAAGGTCAAACACGAGCAAAAATATCTTCCTCAGTTAACTTTTAGAAAAATGTATAATAACAAAAACACAGAAAAACTTGCATTTCTACTTTTGCATGCTTCTTATTCAAAGATTCATTTTCTTCTGTCTTGCAGCACACAGTGGTGACGGTAGCTGGCGACCATCACGTCCATCTCAATGATCCTGAAGTTGTCGCTCCACTTGTTTCTGACTTCCTGCGGACTAAAGTGTTCTCTCAGCATCTGCCGGCATAGTACACAAACACACACACACACACATACCATGTATACATCACTTCAGGGGACATTACATTGACTTACATGCATTTCCTGGAGACTTATCCTAACCTTAACCATAACCAACACATGCCTAACCCTAACCCTACTCCTTACCCTAACCCTAATCCTAAACCTAACAAAGTCTTCACCCTAAAATTAATGATTCCCCTTATGGGGACCTCCATTTTGTCCCCATAAGGGAGGCGAGTCCCCACACGTGACCGTGTAAACAGATTTAGGTCCCCACAAGTATAGTAATGCTAGGCCACACACACACACACACACACACACACCACACACACACACACACACACACACACACACACACACACACACACACACACACACACACACACTCCCTCACTCAAACCAAGAACCAGCTCTCATTCATATCATCTTTAGGACAAAGAATAGTTTGACCAAGCTCTATACTGTATATAAAATCCTACACTGTTCAAAATATGTTTTGCCGGGACGTCATTATTTAATTTGAAGCTGATCTATGAAACTTGACTGGTTCTCATAAACCTAACGCTTGTGTGAGCTAAAAATGGCAGTCATTAAAGGAGATGTCACCCTCTGACAACTTCTCATTATGTAGGCCAATCCTGTCTGTGTTCAGCTTTTGTGTTGCAGCCAGCAGGACAACAAACTAAATCTTATTCCCAGCACTTCCCTCAGTGGAGTGACTACATAAAACCCTGCAGCCACCGTCAGTCAGAGCAGATATTAGAGGTGCAGCTCACACAAAAATTGCCCCTCTCTTTCTCAATGTCACATAAACTGTGTGATGGCCTTGCTGTTAAATGGAGTGGAATCGATTTTACGCAGCGAGCAGCAAGGCGGCGAGCATCCACAGACATCTGAAGGCCCCCCCCCCAACAAAAAATGATTATAGTTATATAAGTTTCCCTCCCACTCCCTCCATCCTCTCCACCATAAGCAGGGGTGTTGTCATAGCAACCCCCACCCCTCCTCTTGAACGTCAGCGGCAGGAGCTCGGAGGATGAAGCTGCATGCAGCTCCTGTCTCTTGTGCCTCTCACAGAGCATCACCTGTGATTTTACTCGTCTCACATGCAACAGTCAGCTGCGGCGCCGGATATTATCTGATGACTGATTTGACTCGCAGCTGCTGCTCATCCCATACCATCTAAAGACCGAGAGCAGCTGATTCAGCAGCGTCTGCAGGTAAGCACGGTGGCTTTATTTACTACTGAGCACTATTTTTAGAGTGCAGCACCTGTGTGTGTTTTGCACATTAGATTTATTTGTATCTCAGTGTGTTGGAAGTAGTGATTCTTGTGATTGTAATGAGGTAGGCTTTCTAGTGAATGACTGAACATAATGCTGCAGTCTGTCCTGGATTACTTTTTTTTAACCCCAAAACTCCTCCTTTCCTTCCCTTTCTCCGTCATGTCTCCTCGTCCCCTCCCTCCTCTGCCCTCTGACAGCAGTGATGTCGTGGCTCTTCTTGGACTGGTTCGTGCCCCTCTACCTGCTGGTGTCTGTCCTGGTGCTGGCGGGCTTCGGAGCATGCCTTTACTTCCTCGAGCCTGGGCTGCAGGACGCCCACAAGTGGAGCAACAAAACAGTCCGGCATCACCCGCTGGTGGCCAGTGTGAACTGCATGGATGACGATAGCAATGCCCTGATATGATCAAGAGGGCCATCTGGACAGCAGGGTGCTGCCAGGACACCGTGGATGGGAGCCAACACCTTAAAGATGGAGAGAGAAAGAGGTGGAGGAGAGTTGCTCTGTCTAATCATTCCAACTTTTCTCTGAACTCTAACATCCTTAATGTAGAGTTCAGGGGAAAGTGAAGCAGAGAGGAAATGCACAAGGTGGAGGAGACTTTATGCAGGATGAGATTTTGGAGGTGAATGGGAGACATGATGCCCTTTAGAAATGTGATTTAAAAACATGATGTAAATTTCACGCCATCTTATACTTGTAACAACTTTTACATACGTTTTGTAATTTGACAATCACTTTACATGAATCATGAAGTTTACTTGCTATATTGTGCATTTGATAAGTGAAGGGAATGATATAAGTGCAATGAGTTTGATGGCAGCAGGAAGGGTTTCTCACCCTCTCTCTGGTGATGGTGGCACAGCAGCTGCTGGGAAGCATGAGAATTGTTAGAGCCAACATGCCAAAATGGTTTTAGGGGTAACTTTATTATAATAATATGTATTGAATAATTGATGACTGATATATTCAAGGTGCCAAGATTATCCTGGATGGACCAAGATTACTATTTGGCAGTGCTCAAAGTGTATTTTTTGTGTCTTCATTGTTTTTACTTGACAGCATGGTGAGGAAACGTTGGGTATGTAACGACCCTCTTTTAAATGATCATATGCTTCCTTTGTTCATGCTTAATAAAATGGTTAAATCTTCAATTATTTGGATTTACATGTATTTATTTTATTATGAAGTTGAACATATCTTTAAGCCAATATTTAGGTTTGTGTAGTGTATCTGCAACAGTGGTGGAAAGTACATTTACTCAAGTAATTTACTAAATGTGCTACACATCTGACAGCTGAAGTTACTAGTTACTTTTCAGATTTAGAGTTTACATTAAAAACATATGAGCTCATAAAAACGTTGCTAGAAGTTTCACCAAAAAGAGTAAATATTTTGTTTTTATTTAAATAAGTGTAGGAGGTCCAAAGGAGAGGAAAATAAGAACACTATTTTTTTCTAGCAGACCATTGTATTTTGTAACCGTAAAATGGTCCTTACAATTAGATGCATGACTATTAAAATGTTATAATGGGATATCAGATGCCCGATACTTTTACTTATGACACTTTTAAGTACATTTTAAATTGTGCCGACTTTCCCACGGCTGATCTGCATTGTAGAGAGAAAGAACAGTGCAACAACACCACATGGAGCCTTCACAGACGTCCCATGAAAAGAGGAGAGACCAGAGTGGGAGAGAAACACTGGGGCTTCAGTGTCGAGGAATGGAGAGAATGGCACTTGTGCTCCCACCACTTCCTACTGCCGAGTTCCCCGTCTCGCACTCTTTGACTTATTTACCAACTGAGTGTGTCAACAACACAGTTTGCTTCAGACAGCAGGTTAGTGCATGTTTCCCTCATTTAACTAATCGTATGTACAGTTTTGTTATGCAGTGGAATTAGGGTTAGTCTTACCGTATAACTGATGCTTTCAGATTGTTTGAAGTAGCTTAGTTTATTTATTTAGATGCTGCACTTAACAACCAACTTAAGGTACTTACATATGTATATGTTACTTCTTTACCCCACTACACTTCATAAGGGAAACAGCAGTTTAAATGTACATAATAGTAGCATCTAACTTTGCATAATTAAATTCTATTTAAAAACACACAATTGCATTGTTATAATTACATACAAGTATCTAAAATAGAAAATACTGGCTCAATCTCTTATAGCTACAGCCAAAAATGGCCACCTACACACTATTGCATTGATATTATTATTGCATTGGTAACAATCTAGTAAAACACATTAACAGGGGCCAACATCTTGTTTAATTAATATTTGAATATGTTTAGTGTTTTAACTAATCTGAATGCAATGCCTTCTTATAATGTAGTACTTTTAATTTTGAGGTTTTACATGATAAAGTATCTTGATCCACCAGATTGTCACATGTGCAAAATGTTAAGAGATATCATTGTTTTTAATATATTTAAAAAACCTGTCTAATCTCAACACTCCCATCAATCTTTATTTTTAACCTTTTTCCTCGCAACTTACAACAGAATGAGTGTTTTTGATCGTCCAGCACCTTTGATCCCTCAAGTATCTGCATCCTCCAGACAAACAAACAAAAATCCATCAGTCTGTGTGTCTCCTCCTCTGCCCCTCTCCTCACCTGTCATCACAAAGAAAGCCATTCAAATCCCATCATTTGATGAGAAGGGACTCATCTACGAGAAACACAACACAAAACCAAACAGTGACAGGTAAATTAAGCTGTATATCAGCTGACTCAGTTTAATGTAATATAATATTGTGATGAATTCATTTTTTGATTTACAACTTTTCTCCTTTCTGGTTGCAGATCGTTTCTCCCAATTTGTTCTCCCAAGTCATCCACTCAGCCTTTTTGGGGTAAATCATGTACGCATTCAGAGGGAAAACATGGAGAAAGAGCTTCAACCCTCCCAAGAGCTAAGCCCAAAACATGCAGCTCTCCAATTTTTTCTGCAAAGCCGAGCGTCTCCATTGTCCCTGCACCAAAGCCAAATTCCTCTCCCACTCTGAAACCAAAGCCAAGTGATTCTCTTCATCTCCCTGCCTCACAGTTCAGAGATCCCTCTCCATTATTCCTGCAACAACCTCATCCTAAACTGAGTGTATCTCCAACTCTGACTGTCCCAACTCCCAGACTGAGTCCATCCCCGACCTCCCTGTGCCAAAGGATGAGTTTAGATAGCAGAGGAGGCAAGACGCCATCTCCTGTCGGTGTAGAAAGACGTGCTAGACAGATTACCATATCGAATACTACAGTGGAGCCGGATTCCATCAAACAGAGATCTTCAGATGAGGCGAAGCATGACATTCTTGACCAAGAAGCTTTACTGGACTTTACTCATCCTGCCTTGAGAACAGCTTGTTCCATATCCCGACATCAGACTAACTCTGAGTCCCAGACACAAGTAGCCCTTTCTCAGAGTTCCTGCCTAATGCAAGGCAATGCTGGTTTAAGTAAAAGAGAAAACATTGCTCAAGATAAACCGAAGCCTCCACCCAGGAATATAGACAATACTTCAATCCCCAAACCAAAGCCAAACATCAAAAAGCAACAGGGATTTTTGCCAAGTGGAGCGAGAGGTACACAAACGTCTCTGTCAGAGTCTGAAGGGATTAGGTTTGCTAAAGTTGTTCAGAGAGAGTCAGCGTTTGATGTGCTGGCAACTCAGTCAAGCCTGAACCTTCACAGGAAGCGTACAGAAGACTACCCACAAAGGAGGAATTACGCCTCCAATGAACAATACGAACTAAATTATTCTGACAGAAATGCAACGACTTCAAAAATCTCCTTTTCCACAGAGCCTCTCCCCAATCAGTCACCCACTATTGAGAAAAGGAGAAGACTGTTTGACTTGAGCAAAGACACAAAAGTAGATGCAACATTTCTGTCTAATCTCAGGAGACCTAAAAAAGAAAACAACATACAGACAGCTACAGGAAATGTATCTAAACTCTCTCCACAAACCACCAGGGCCTCTTGTCAGAAACACAGATTCTGGTGGAAGGATCCACTCCCAGTAAATCAGTCCGTCTGTGTTTCAAAGGATTACAGCTGCCAGTCAAGAGATATTGATCGTGAAACAGATTCTCACAGTTTAAATCAATATAAAACATGTCTGGTGGTACCTCAGACACAGAAGGCCTCCGGACCTGCTTCTATTGAGTGTGCAACATCAAAAACAATCCTTACAACACCTGATACTATCTCACACAAAAACAAAGAGATGAACCTCTGTGTCACAGGCGTGTCAAATCAAACGGATATTTTTGCACCATCTGGCCTTCATGGGACGCCCGCAGAGCTACTAGAATACCCCTCAGAGAAATACTGCCCATTCAACACAAACAGTGTTGGCATCAGATCAAAGGGGGTCTTTGACCTGCCGCTGCAGCACACAGTGTACCAGAGGCCAGACCAGGCAACAACAACAACAGCCTTCTCTTCACACACACCAGATTACCCACCAGCAGGCAGAGCGTTTATCATGGAGGAGCCAGAGGACCCCTATTATGTCACCATGTATTACCCTGGGTCAGTCTACGTGGGTGAGTACAGAGACATCCAAAAACACTTAACTGAACAGAGTGAAGAAATCTCTCAAAGCACACATGGCAGAGACTCTTTTATATTTTGTTTGATCCTTTCAGAGGTAAATAATGTTCTATCTAAGGTGGTGGAAAGTCAGACAAGGGGGTTTGGTCAAAGAGGACAGCAGACGTCGCTCCTTATCAGTAGAGTAACAGACATGCTGAAGAGAGGCGACAGCGTTGGTTGGCAGACTCTATCAAAGTGACTCGTCCAGGAGGACATACAGCCCTCCACAGAGACAATCAAACAGAAAGAAATGATGCAGAAAGGAAAAGTAAATAAGAACGACAGGGGAGAAACTCAGAGGCAAACTGTGATGTTCTCTCCCTGTAGCACTTTTACTTGACAACACTTGCAAAAGATATGTATTTACTGCTAGTTAAAGCTAAGTTATACCACTGTACATCATGTTTTAATATTAGTCCACATTAGACTACCAAACATTGCATACTGTGGTCCAATTAAAACTGATTGTCATATCAATTGAATGTCTTTTGATAGGCCTTACCAGTGAAACTGTGCAGTATTTATTTAATAAAACTATTTCTAGAGCTGTCAACTATATCACAGTCTTTGTCAGCTAATGGGGTCTGCTCAGTTGTCATAGAGATCGAATAGATATTGGACAATAAAAAGATAAGATGAGAGTCAGGAGGAATAAACATAACTCAAAGGGAAACATTGTTGCTGTGATTCTTTATTAAAGATAAATTGAGCTACTAGGTTATCTAAAAATGTATTTAAATAGTCACTTGAGCACTTATTCAATAATGGAGCATGTTTATGTCACTTGAGTATTTTCATTGTATGCTGCTTTAGACTTCTACACTTCTTCTTACACTACATTTAAGATGAAACCAATGTACTTTCTAGTATGTGCAACAGTTATTTGGCAGATTATGATTTTAAACATATAATTGACGAGTTGTTATAATTTCATGATTTGTTTTAAATGAAATTACCAAATCAGGTTGAATTAGCTCCACCCAGAGGAGCTACAATATTAAAAGGTATGATAATGTATAATTTATAATAATGCATCAACATAAGGTCCTGCTGCTGATGGCCCACTGATACTATAAACTTACAAATGAATGGCTTTAAAACATCAAAGAAAGAGCAAGACGGAGAAAAAAGGAACCCAAGTACCCAAGTAAGTGTGCAGGAGATCCAGGTCTACATGCCTTATTGGTGAAATAAAGAAATGGGGTATTTTTACATTATGGTAATGCTTCATCAAACTTGAGTCCAATGGTTGAAAGTAACATTGAATATAATGTAATTTACTCAGGTATAATTATCAAGTACTAATTTAAGGTACTTTTTTTCCCTTCTCAACTCCATGACATTTCAGAGGGGAATTATTGTGCTAGTTCAAAAAATAGCAGTACCCCTACAACTTGTTAACAGCACCTTTACTTCAGTAAAGGATCTGAATTCTACTTTCCCCACCGAATTGTGATCATAAAATAATAATGCAATCTTAAATGTTTCCTAAAAATAGCCTGCATCACTGACAGAAGTCCCTTTGAAGTAAAGTGACACTGCGCATGCGCGCTGCATCTCCCCACACCCTCTCCTCTTGTCGCCTGGGTAACGGTAAAGGGGGGCTCGGCTCGGAGAGAGGTACTATAATCACATGACCGCTGCTCATCTCTCTGTGTTTGGATATAACACCGTCATCTCCTCTTGGACCCACAGCGAGAATCCCTCAGCAGTCAACTAAAAGCAGATTTACGGTGAAAGTGAACGGGAGTCGGTGAGTGTGACCGCCCTTTGGTACCGTTAGTGTGCAGCGGCTAGCAGCTAACGCGGAGCTGCCGTTAGCTGTTATCATCCAGCATGACTGCAGACAATGGAGGTCGACACTGTGATGGAGCTAACCTCGTGTGTTGTATTAAACCAGAAACAATATGGTCAGCATTATGCAGCCACAGTGTGGGTAGACATTACCCGCGAATTGCGTGGCGATGTATGACGACAGTAATGGTTTTTAGAGGGCCAAATAACGTGTCGTAGATTTCATTTCAGAAGCAGCTTTTGTATGTTTCACCCTAAAACAAGTGTGATTTGCTTGCAGTATGTAACACACCATTAATGCTGAAATAATTATGTTGTCTCATTATCTGTGACTGTGTGTGGAGGCAGAGAGGGGGCAGAGCTACATGAATCAAAGTGACAGCCCCTGCCTCAGTGACCTGTATCATCTGTACTGTGTGTCTTCCATTGTGGATGCACTGACTTTAAGCATGGCAGCAGGCAGATCCATGTGTGCAGCCTGCAGCACTGAGGTGATCTTCATGCCTGTTACTGTTACCATCTGCCTGCACCGCTTGCTTCTTGTAAAGCAGGGAGGATGCTTAATGTGCTTTGCCGGGGGCAGGGGGCCAGTTAATAAACAAACATACATAATGGTTATTAGATCAAATTCCTCAAATTAGCTTAATGACTATATTAACCTGACACACTGGTGCATCATAGACCTAAATGACAGATACATTATACAGTTGACATATTTAAAAGATGTAACTGCATTTGAACTGCATTACACTCAAATCAGCTCATATGTACAGTATACCAATGTATCGTTCTAGCTCTCCAGCATGCAGAGAAAATACCTCGCTTATGAAGTTAGGGGTTAGCTAGATGTGTTGCTAAATGGACATGGAAACATAATTTTTCTGCCATTTGGTTGAACGCACCCTTTAAGACTACAACCCATTTCTTTAATGTAGAACAAGTCAAAGGAGGGAGCGGCTTCAGATCGCCCTCTGACCTACTTCCTATTGCAGCAGTGTTATCATTGGCTACAATTTAATATATATCCTCCCTTTCTTTTATTCTCTAGACATGTCAGACGTAGTTCCTCCAGAAGTGAGACCCAAACCAGCTGTCCCCGCCAAGCCCCCAAATGTGGGAGCTCCTTCCCCCTCCAGCCCCTTCCCACCCCAGGGCCCGGGTATCGGAGGAGGCGGCGGCGTTTCAGGGCTTCCTCCAAGTGCCATTCCTGTCCCCATTGTGAATCACGGCCATAGTGTGGGTCATAATATTGGTCATGGTGTGGGCCACGTTGCGGGCCATGTCGGAGGTCACACTGCCACACACAACGGAGGCCACGGTCACGGAGGGTCCCACAACTCGGGCGGGGGATCCACTCTGCTGGGATACATTGGTATTGACACCATTATTGAGCAGATGAGGAAGAAAACCATGAAGACAGGCTTTGACTTTAACATCATGGTTGTTGGTAAGTCACAGAATGAATAGAAAGCTCAAATGTTATGAATCTTTTTTACACATTGTCCCATAGTTTCGTTCTTGGAGAAAAGCAAGTAACCTACATTCCTAAATTATATTTAGACATGTTCTGCCTTTCTTCTTCCATGATTTAACCTCCTCTTTGGCCTTTCCCCTATTATCTCAGGTCACAGCGGTCTTGGAAAGTCAACTCTGGTGAACACCCTGTTTAAGTCCCAGGTGAGCAGGAGGAGCGCAGGGTGGGCTCGTGATGAGAAGATCCCCAAAACTGTAGAGATCAAAGCAGTGTCTCATGGTGAGTACAGGAGAGAGCTTTTGTTCTTTCTTTAGAGCCAGACATTTATAGAAGCTTTTAGTTTGATAGAGATCTTTGACCGTGTTTTTTCGTCCCCACATAACCTACTTACAGTCACTCTGACAGCTGCCAAGTCAGCCTGCCATTTATTTTAGATGAGTTTGTGAAGGCCAACTTCTGTGCCTTCTGCAGGTACTTTATAGCTTTGATGATTTGATTACGGTATTGGTCACAGCAAGTGCTTCCTTCAAAAGTACTGAAAATGAAGTTTCCTTTGGACACATTGCTACAATATGTCCCACTGTGTGAGAGAGTAGAGGTCAGACAGAGTTTGGTCTTGTCTGAAGCAAGGCAAGAAGTATGGCATGTGACCCACATACCTACGCTGCCTCTGAATCTGCTCATCACTGTGGCAAACAGCTCTGCTCCAAGTGCAAGAGGTTTAACACTCTATGTGTTGGAGTGTGGACTGAACAGACACCACGGTTTAATGGGCTAATTTTCAGAGGATTGGCTTAATAATACAAAAAAGGCTTTGCTGTCTAAGGGTTTGAATTGGGAGAAGAAAGCTTATTAAACACTTTGTATTGTTCAACATGTCCTCCATGGGGGATGAAAGGCAGCAATATTAAGCCTTATGCAAAGGAAAAGGCACTTAAACTGCATTTATTTAGGTCATAAACATCAATTTATTTGTTCTCCCATATCAAATTCAGAAAAATGTAATAAATGATCAGCCTGATGTGGTGAACAAATCACTGACAGATGACAAAACGTTGTTTAAGGATCAGCTGAATAGATTTCAGTAATAATCTGGGAAGGGAAATTCTACTATTTCTTAGTTTTTCTTATGCTGTGTTTATGTTTCTGTTCAAACAGGCTGGATTTGCAGAATTGTATTGTGCCCGTGGTATGAAACAGGGCTTTGAAAGGCGATTAGTAAGAAAGGAAACCAAATCTAAAAGATTAAAGCAGGAAGTTACATGACAAATGTTTTTGAGTCATCAGCAAGTACAGACTGTTCCTCACACGTATGGATTTATACTGGATCGCTGACAGCTTTTACTCCACACTTATTCATCAATTATATAAATGTAATGTCTAGGACTTTGAGGAAGTGTTTTCTGTGACACAGTGCTTGTGGTCAGACATGTTGATTTTCATCCTAGATATTATTCTAACACATATACTGTGTACCTGTAGTTGGTAAAAAAAGATCTAATCTGCTCAAATATGGGAGATTATAGTAAGACATTATATACTTAATGGTTCCTTAAAGGTACAGATCACCTCATTAGAAGTTTTCATCCATAACCATGGGAACAACACTTTCAGATCAGACACTGTCTGGTGTAGACAGTGTCTGATCTGAAAGTGTTGTTCCCATGGTAATAATGAATGACCCTTGCTGACACAAAGAGGTAAACATGAATTTGTGGTTTGTTTACAATGTATCACAGCCAGGAAACAGACGTGTTTAACTCAATACTGAGTTTCTCTCATAAAATATTCATGATGTGATATTCTTCCACCATACACAAGCTCTCTCCTAAAATAAACCAGACTGAGCAACAGAAATCAGCCATGATTTTTGATTTCAAACAGATATCATAATTACCTATAATACAGCGCAGATTATTGCTATGTAAAGCCACAGTGTATAGTATTAAAACAAATCTGACTTTAGCGCCCCTCCCCCAGTGTTAGTATCAAATCCTTGGCTGTTGCTGACAGCTCTGCATGCTCTTTATGAAATCGGTCGGGGACTCTTCAGTATGAGCAGTCTGCCGTACTGAGCTCATTATGGCATCTAGGACAGGAGAAGCAGGGAGGGTTCCTTCAAAATGTATTCAGATTCAATCAATGATTACCTGTCAACATGTAGTCAGCCACATAGTAAACTTATCACGATATCAAAGTAATATAACTTTATCACTGTCCTTTCGTCAACCTAATACCTTAATACAGTATATGCAAAACGAAGAGAAAAGTTCTGAAATATCTCATTAATAATATCATTATTTTGTCTGTAAGGCAGAAAACAACATCTCAGTGCCGAGATAGTTCTGCCTTCCAGCTGTGACAGTTCTGTCCTCTTTCAAGGACTCAAGTCATTTGGCACATTAGTGTTGCTGGATATTAACTTTGAGCAGCAGCAGAACACAATACATTTCATTAAATTAACCTACATGCGCTTTACCAGGTTTGTCTTGTATTATGTTTACTGGACCAGAAATGTGAAGCGATTTTCTCAATTCCTAGGAAACTATCTCTTCACGCTAGATGCCTTTTGGCAAAAAGAATAATCTTCAGCAACTGGAAAAACATTCTGCTTTGCAATGACTGGCGCTGTGCTGTGATACCGTGCTGTTCCCCTCTTCTGCTTTACATACTAAATAATGTTTAAATGACCAGATACGCCATCAAGTCAGACTTGACAGTGTTTTAATGTCAAGTCAAAGTCAACTAATGTGTGGGAATATGAGATTGGTAGAATATAATTCCTTATTTGAATAGGTGTTTTAAATTAGAATCCTTCTCATAATCCCACTTTACACTATTTGTATCCGAAGTTACCTTTTGTCTGTATCCTATTTAGGGATGCACGATATTGGTTTTTTGAAACCGATACCGATACCGATAACTT